ATGGGACTGTTACTATGGGCTTAACCTAGATCTTCCTAAAAATTAGGAATGCTTGATGACTACTTTCCTCCTTTATTCCCATAAATTAAGAATTGTTTCCTTTACTCCATCCCCTTTTTTCTGAAACTTTATAACAAGTCCTCTAAATGATCTTAACCTTTCCATTCTTTCTACATTTGCCTTTTTTTTTTGCCTTTAGTGTCTACAATGGCTCTACCTAGAGCTAACTTACCAGCAGCTCTTCAATCTTCCAGAAGGACCACTTGTTTGGATGCTATAAGTGGGCTTTGTGGAATGATAATTTATAGTGAGGAGTTAGAAGTTTTCACAAGACTTCATTCTCCCTGGGTGGATTGGCCATTCCTCTTCCCCTGGGGCATGAAGAGGGGGAAATAAGGAGTTCCTGAGTGTGTTCCAAGCTCAAGGGCCATTCTTTTCTAGATGTTATTTCAGATCAGTGGTCCATTTATGGTTCCGCATAGTGTGAGAACTTTGTAGTGGTCAAGGAGACACCGGCAGTGGCCACTTTATGGGAGCACCAGCACCAGAGGTCAGAATAGAACAAAGAGAAATGTTTTCACATTCATAGATCATTTCTTAACTTTGACAAGTTCCTGAAAAGTCCTCAGGGAGACCAAGAATAGAAGCCATTTTACTTAAAGGTAACGAAGCTCAGAAGACTCAAGGCAAATAATTAGATCATAGTCAATGCCAGAGAAGAAACTTAAATGAAAATCTATTAAATTCCTGACCCAGTACTCTTTCTAACAGATGCTTCTGAGTACCCCTTTCCTTAACAGGTTATTTATACAGATTTGACCTCAACATTTGTGCTAAAAATTTTGATAATAATAATGAAACAGATGTTAGTCAAACAATTTCTTACTAAGTCATGGATTAGACATTTTTGAAGAATACTAGTCCAATGTGATATTAATGATTTGTTGTTATGTACTGTCAAGTCAGACCCAACTCATAGCGACCCCTCCTTGGGTTGCTGAGGCAGTATCACTACTGAAGTAGATTGCCCCATCTTCCTTCCTAGGAGTGGCTGGTGGGTTTGAACTGCCAGCCTTCTGGTTAGCAGTCAAGTGCCTTAGGCACTATGCTACCAGAGCTCCCATTAATGATTATATATATATATATATGTACATATATAATTATATTGATGCTATAAAAATACCATCCAAAACCACTGCCATCGAGTTGATTCTGACTTATAGCAACCCCCATTGGGTTTCTGAGGCAGTAATTCTTTATGGAAACAGATTGCCCAGTCTTGCTTCCATGGAGTGGAATTATAATTATATTATTAATATGTTGCTGTTGTTATGTGCCGTCGAGTCGGAACAACTCACAGCAAACCCTCCTTGGGTTTCCGAGGTGGTATCACTGTGGAAGTAGATTGCCCAACCTTCCTTCCAAGGAGTGGCTGGTGGGTTTGAACTGCCAGCCTTCTGGTTAGCAGTCAAATGCTTTAGGCACTATGCTACCAGAGCTCCCATAATTAATATATATATACATTTTAAATATGCATATTTAATATTTGCAGAACTAGGATAATAGCAGTGAAAAGAGCTACTTTATCAGGTGTAATATGGAAAAAAAGGACCTTCAAAATACTGTTATATATAGGTACTCAATTGCTCCAGCATCATATACTGAAAAAAAAATTCTTTGCAGTGCCACATTTGTCATAAATCACATCACAGTATAACTTTGTGTCTTGTACTCCTCATTCTGATCAATGGGTCTATATGCCATGCCACATTAACTTAATGATGTACTTTTATAAAAATTCTTGAAGTGTGTGGTAGCAAAAGTCTTGTTTTTGCATTATCATATGCATCTACAAATTAGCTTGTCAATTTCCACAAAATACCTGTTGAGATAATTACTGGAATTGCACTGAATGCACATAAAAATTGGAAGGATTGACATTCACACGAATGAAATCACCAGTCCATGAACTCTTGATTTATTAGCCTTCTTTAGTTTTCTCATTATTCTCGTGTTGTCTAGTTTTCAATATATATTTTCTTTTGTTGAACTTATTTGTATTTGATATTGTAAATGGTATTAATTTAAAACTTTTATTTCTCATCTTTTCATTTTTAGAATGTAGACATATAATTGATTTTTTTGTGCATTGACTTTAGGAACTCTGGGGGCACAGTGCATAAGGCATTTGCTGACTAACCAGAGGGTAGAAGTTCAAACCCACCAGCTGCTCCACAGAAAGAAAATGGGGCAATCTACTTTTGTTGCTATGAGTCAGAACTGACTCCATGGCAGTCGGTTTGGTTTGTTTTTTTGGTATTAACTTTATGTTCAGCTCTGGTGATGTAGCGCCTAAGGCATTTGACTACTAACCAGAAGGCTGGCAGTTCAAACCCACCAGCCACTCCTCGGATGGAAGGTTGGGCAATCTACTTCCGCAGTGATACCACCTTGGAAACCCAAGGAGGGTTTGCTATAAATTGGATCCAACTCTACAGCAGTGGTTGCGTTTTCTTACTAAATTTACTTATAAATTAAAATATTTTACCTATTAATGTTTTTCGAGTTTCTATGCAGAAAGTCCAGTTATTTGGAAATAAAGATATATTTACGTCTTGGTGGTCTAAACCCACCAGTGATGTCACAGAAGAAAGACCTGGTGATCTCCTTTCATATATTACAGCCAAGAAAAGTCTGCAGAGCAGCTCTCCTCTGTTATGAGTTGGAATCCACTCAACGGTAATGATTTTTTTCAAATGGGGTTTTCACTTTTTCCTTTCCAACCTTTATAATTTCCTTCCCTCTTTTGTCTTGCCTTTTTTTCTAGCTAAGAACTCCTGTGTAATAGTGTAATATTGGTGAAAAAATAAATATAAAAATAAATATTTTTGTTTTCTTCATGATTTTAGGGATTAAACATTTGCTGTTGCACTATTGAATGTGAAGTTAGCTAAAAAATTTGGGCCGATAACCTTCAATAGTTTAGGAAATTCCCTTATCTCCTTAAATTTCTGAGAGCATTTATTTATTTTTTTAAATCACCAACACATTGTGAATTTGGTTAAGTGATTTTCCTGAATCTGTTGAAGAGCTGATATATTTTTTCCATTCTGTGTTAAGTGATGATCAATTTGTGAATGTTAAAGTAACTTTTCATTCCCAGAATAGATCTTGTTTATACATGATTTATTAATTTTGTATTCAATTTCCTAATATTTTGCTTAGAATTTATAGATCTGTATTCATGAAAGAAATTGATCTGCATTTTTTAAAAGTAATATTCCAGTCAGCTTTTTTTTAAAATAAAAATCAAATTCACTGCCATCAAGCAACTGTCATTGAATTTTTCAAGGCAGTAAATCTTTATGAAAGTTGATTGCCCCATTCTCCTTCCACAGAAGAGCTGGTGGGTTTGAACACTAGCCTTCTGGTTGACAGTCAAATGCTTAGGTACTCTGCCACCAGAGCTCCTTATATATTTCCATTCAGCTTTTGCTATCAGATTTTTGATGGCCTCAAATAATGTGTTGAAAAATGTTCCTTCTTTCTCTAGTCTCTGAAAGGGCTTACACAAGGGCATGACTCACTGGGGATCATGGTAGGCATATTCATCACAGTATCATTCCATGTTTCTTTTTATGTATCATACTGCTTTTCCTGAAATGCACATTGTCAGATAATATAGCAATCTTTCTTTTGGTGTTTGTATGGTATATATTCTTTCAACTTGTTACTTCAACCTTTCTATGTCCTTATACTTAAATTGTGTCTCTTCTAAGCAGAAAATAGTTCAGTTTTAAATCCTTTTTTATTTTGACAATCTTTTTGCTTTACTTGGAGAATTTAGTATATTTATATTTATGTAGTGATTGCTAAGCTTCTATGCATACTCTCATGATATTTGCTTTTTATTTTACTCATTCTCATTCTTGTTATCTTTGGATTAATGCAAACTTTTTAGTTATTCCATTTTCCTTATAGTTGCTAAATTTCTTTATGTGTTCGGCCTTCTTTGCTCTCATTATTATTATTATTATTATTTATACTTATGAAAATTTATTTCTTAGTTTTAGTGGTTCATTTCTATTTATTTACTTTTAAATACAATTTTATTGAAATATAATTTATGTACAGTGAAATACACATAACTAAAGTGACAGTCATTGGGTTCATTTCTATTTAAATATTTCACAGTTTCCATAAATATCTACCTTTTTTTCCCCTTAACCTTAACTATTTACTCTTTTGTGTGATAGTTTAAAATGAAAATGGTGTCCCTCAATTTTCACAAACTATTTCAGCAACAACCATGAGCATATTCTTATATCCCTTTCTCCTTTCTTTTTCAGTTTTAATTGCATAATTTCTACTTCGTCAAACATATAGCATTTACATACCATTCTTCTACCCATGATCCAACCTTTGTTTTTGTCTTAAATCTATAATCAAATTATTTAATGATCACTCTCAGCCCTTTTACCAGTTTCCTAAGTCACCTTTTGATTTTATGAAGTTTATTTTCTAGGAGATTCAAATAGAAAAAATCATAAGGATAATATCCTCTGAGTTCATGCATGTTTAAAGCTGTTTTTCTCTAACTTTGAGTTCTGATAAAGAACAGTCAGATATAAAGTTTTTGACTCACACATATTCCCTTGAGCTCCCTGAAAATGCTACTCCTTGATTGCCTTAACTTCTTGAAAGTTATAATGCCAGTCTAACTTTCTTACCCTAATAACTGCTTGCTCTTTTGTCCTTGAGGAAATAACAATTTATTTTTATTTTAAAAGGTTAATAGATTTAGTAGAATATGTCTGAGTTGATTGCTCTGGGTCACTTTTTCTAGGTACCTAATGGGCTCTATTAAGCAGAGGATTTATCCGTTCTCTTGGGGGAAATGTCATTGGCTTATATGGACATGACAAGGTCTCTAGTAAAAAAGTTTTCAGTACTTACATGTTTTGATCTCATTATTATCCCAGTGATCTCTTGCGCAGACGTCAATGACTTTTAGTGTTAAGCATCCTTATTACCCTCTCTCTTATTTGTTTTGTCCTGATCCCATAGATAACAGGGTTAAGAGCAGGGGGAACAACCACATACAAATTGGCCAGAAGGATGTGGATGTAATGAGGGATGTTGTGTCCAAAGCGATGCGTCATGAAGGAGAAGAGAGCTGGCAGGTAGAAGGCCAACATGACACAGACATGGGAGCCACAGGTGCTGAGGGCCTTAAATCGGGCATCCCAGGATGGGAGATGAAAGACAGCCCGGAGGATCTGGACATAGGAAAATCCAATCACAGAAAGGTCAATGTATCCCACTGAGAAAGCAATCAAACCATAGATAACATTGACCCTAATACTGGCACAAGCTAACTTTGCCAAGCCCATGTGTTCACAATAGGTATGGGGGATAATCCGAACACCACAGAAAGGCAACCTTAGGATGAGGAATATGAATGGAGTCACAAACACCAAAGTCCTGAAGATGATGATGATGCCCAGAATGGCTATCACCTTGTTGGTGAGGATCATGCTATATCTTAGGGGGTTGCAGATGGCAACATAGCGGTCTATGGCCATGACTGTCAGCACCACAGATTCCAGGCCAGTGCATATATGGATGGTGTACATCTGTGTGATGCAGGCACCAAACATAATCTCCCTGAGGTTGAACCAGAAGATGCTCAGCATCTTGGGGATGGTGGCTGTGGACAGGCCAAGATCAGTGCCCGCCAACATGGCCAAGAAGTAAAACATGGGCTGGTGGAGGCTGCGTTCTGTCTGGATCACAAATAGGATGGTGATGTTCCCCAGGAGAGCTATAAGATACACTGCAAAGAAGGGGAAGCCAATCCAGATGTGTGCACTTTCCAGCCCTGGAATTCCCATCAGAAGAAAGGAGGAGGGGTGGAACTGTGTTTTGTTGCCATGAAGCATTTTGGAGGGAATTGGTTATAGCCACATTTCTTGAAGGAGTTTTCTCGCTTCCAGTGAGGGACCCCAACCTCTTTCATAACACATTGCCTATTTCTTGGAGAAGCAGAAAATCCATTTCTTAATTCCATAATACAGCAGAGGAGACCTACAGAGGGAATATGAGGCATAATCAAGAAGAAACTTGGATTTTGATGTATTTTGTCTCATCTGCATACAAAACTGTGCAGAAAATTTCCAAATACCATCAATTCTACACTTAACATGTCTCTTTTCCCTTCAATCCCTAAGGGCAGATCTTCATATGACAGTAAATTAGTGAAAATTTGTTGAATTAATTTAAACTCGTCCAAAGAGCTACCTCTTGGAAATACTGCCTGAGTTCACTTTCCCAAAGATATTTCCTTCTCTAGCCTGTTCTTTGAACTCCTTTTCTTTGCTCACTTCAGGCAACCCTCTCATAAAGTACTGTCATAGACATTTTGGTTACAGGAAGTTCCTGTTTCCCAATAAGTGTTTAGGAGATATGTCTCAGGATCTGTTAACCAGGATATAATGAAGAAACAAAATGAAATGTGTGTAAAATATCACTGTACCACAGAACTAGGATAGAGGTTCAGATGGCACAGCCAGTCTGATGGTTGAGGAGCATGATGCATTTTTGAAATCACAAAAAAACCCAAAACCAAACTGACTGTCATCGAGTTTGTCCCGACTCATAGCAACCCCTCCTTGGCTGTCCAAGGCCATATCTCAACGGAAATAGATTGCCTAATCTTCCTCCCAAGGAGTGGCTTGTGGGTTTGAACTGCCAGCCTTCTGGTTAGGAGTCAAATGCCTTAGGCACTATGCCACCAGAGTACACCTGACAAATTAGGAAGATGCTATGTGGGAGGGAATCCAGTGAAGGTGGAGATTGGGAAGCTGGTATTTGGATCTAAGTTAAGGTATAGAGTTAATAAACTTAGGAGACTTTTACCAAATGCCTGCAGTACAGTACTACCTCCTGGAAGTGCAAAGTATCATCACTCCCTATATTACATTCCCTTTCATGAACAGATTAATATTGGATACCCCTAGCTATTTTATTAAAACCTATTGTGATCTATGATTTGTGAAGTTATCTTCTGCCTTCTTCACGCTACATTATAAATACAGACAATCCCATCATGCTACCTCAGCAGTGACAGTGTGAATGCCACTGTGTTTTTCCCAGTTAGAGCAGTACCAAAGCCAGAACTTGCCTCAACATGGAAACGTTCTATAGTTTGTGTTCATTGATACTGTAGCTAGCTTCACTTATATAGTGATGGGTGAGAATATATTTAAGTTGGTGGCAGATTTGTTGAACTGTAACAATTGAATCTGTCTAGTGTGCCTGGGGTTGTCTGGGTTGTAACTGGTCCTGTGCCACCAGTGCTATCTTTAACAAGACCAGACCTGTGCAGTGCTTGGGTGTCTGTAATTGAGAGTGCGCCACAATTAGAAACTTTGTCATCACTGGTGTTGTCTGCAGTAGACTTTGGGTAAATACCTACTATTGCCAGGCCTGTGGGATATGGGAAGTGCCATATGTGGAGCACTGTTTTGTGCGGTCTTGCCTTGATGCTACTTTGAACGCAATGAGTTCTGATGTGGTGGCACCGATTTTGAAGAAACAAAAATCTTTTGCCTTGACTCTAACAGGGGGTCCAAAAGCTGTTTAGAGGTTATGTGTCATGTGAATTAGCAGAAAGATACTGTGTAATTGCTTTTTTTTTTTTTTTAAAGTCATGATTCTGCTATAGAAAAGGAAGAAACTTTATGACTCATTCACTCCTTGAGTAGCATTAGTCAAATATTTTTTTCCAGTGGGGTCTGACCATATAAAAGTTATTATCAGCACCTTCTTACTAATGAACATTAGATTTACCTTTTCATCTACCTCTTCCCCTGAAAAAGCATCTAATTTGCCAGAACCTCTTTTAATTTCTAATTACATTTTTAATTTAAGTTAGCTCTGACTCATAGCAACCCTATGTACAACAGAATGAAACGGTGCCCAGTCCTGCACTATCCTTACAATGTTTGCTGTACTTGAGCTCATCGTTGCATCCACTGGGTCAATCCATCTCATTGAGTTGTTTCCCCATTTTCGCTGACCCTCCACTTTACCAAGTATGGTATCCTTCTTCAGGGATTGATCCCTTCTGACAAATTACCAAATGACCAAATGACCAAATTACCAAATGACCAAAGTAGGTGAGACAAAGTCTGGCAATCCTTGCTTCCAAGGAGCATGCTGGTTGCACTTCCTCCAGGACAAATTTGGCAATCCATGGTATTTTGAGCACTCTACACCAACACCACAATTCAAAATCATAAACTCCTCTTGTTGTTATGTGCCCTTGGGTTGGCCCTGACTCATAGCAACCCCTCCTTGGGTTTCCCAGGCAGTATCACTACAGAAGTGGATTCCTTCTGAGGAGTGGCTGGTGGGTTTGAACCACCAGCTTTCTGGTTAGCAGTCAAGTGCCTTAGGCACTATGCTACCAGAGGTCTTCCTTATTCATTGTCCAGCTGGATCATAACAAATTATGGATAACATTGTGAAGAATGGGAATTCCAGAACACTTAATTGTGCTTATGAGGAACTTGTATATGGACCATGTATATAAGACTATTGAAAATACCTTGTATATGGACCATGTATATAAGACAGTTGAAAATACCATGGCTTGGGTTAGGACCACCTTAGTCTTCAAAATGATATCTTTGCTTCTTAACTACTGCTTCCATGGGTGTTGATCATGAATCCAAGTGTGGTAGTTAAATTTGTATATCAACTTGACTGGGCCTGGCTGAGTGGCTGGGCAGCTGGTGCTCCCCATGATGAGACTGGCAATCAATTCCATGGTGGGATCTACCACAAGCAGCTGAGTAGCTGCCTTTGGGATGTGGTCTGTTTCCTGTATATAAGGAGAAGCCTTGGGAATGGTCTCTAGCCTATGGCACACTTGGACCTTGCATGCATCCATGTCATTGTTTAGCAGCCTGCCGTTCTCTGCTGACCTTGGGACTTACAATGGACTTGAATTAATGGCCTGCTGTGTGGTTTGGTAACATCGGGACTGCGCCATTTTGTTTTCTGACCTTGGGCTTGTTAGTCTCAGCAGCCAGTAGCTGCCTGAGTGAAGAAAAGCCTCTACCTTCAGTGGGCTGGGAGCAAGAGGCAGAGCTGAAGCCCAAGGTGGAAGGGCTTTCACACAACCCCTAGACCCTGGCACTTTGAACTTGGACTTCTAGCCTCCCGAACTGTAAGAGAATAAAATCCTGTTTGTTCAAGCCATCCTATTTGTGGTATATTCTTGTCAGAGCAGTACTAGGTAACCAGAACACCAACCAAAATGAAATCCCTAAAAAAATTCAATCTTTTCTCCATTTATCATGATTTTGTTTATTGGTCCAGTTGTGAGGATTTTTGTTTTATGTTGACACATAATCCGTACTGAAGTCTGTAGTCTTTGACCTTCATCAGTAAGTGCTTCAAGCCATCTTCATTTTCAGCAAGCAAGGTTGTGTCAGCTGCATATCTCAGGTTGTTAATGAGTCTTCCTTCAATCCTGATGCCATGTTCTTCTTCATATAGTCCAGCTTCTCAGATTATTTGCTTAGCATATGGACTTAACAAGGATGGTGAAAGATACAACCCTGGCATTCACTTTTCATGATTTTAAATCATGCAGTATCCCCTTATTCTATTTGAGCCACAGCTTCTTTGTCCATATACAAGTTCCTCATGAGCACAATTAAGTGTTTTGGAATTCCCATTCTTCACAACGTTATCCATATTTTGTTATGATCCAGAGAGTCAAATGGCCTTGCATAATCAATAAGCCACAGGAAAACATCTTTCTTGTATTCTTTGTTCTCAGCCAAGATCCGTATGACATCAGCAATGTGATCTCTCATTCCTCATCTTTTTCTGAATCCAGCTTGTATTTCTGAAAGTTTCCCGTCAATATACTGATAGAAACATTTTGAGTTATCTTCAAAAGAATTTTACTTGTGTGTGGTATTAATGATAATGTTTGATAATTTCTACATTCTGTTCAATCACCTTTCTTTGGAATGGGCACAAATATTGACCTCTTCTAGTCATTTGGCCAGGTAGTTTTCATCCAAATTTCTTGGCATAAACAAGTAAGAGATTCCAGCACTGCATCTGCTTGTTGAAACATCTCATTGGGTATTGCATCAATTCCTGGAGCCTTGTGTTTTGTGAATTCCTTCAGTGCAGCTTAGATATTTTCCTTCAATACCATTGGTTGTCGATCATATGTTACCTTCTGAAATAGTTGAACAGTGACTATTTCTTTTTGGTATAGTGACATGCATTCCTTCCATCATCTTTCGATGCTTCCTGCATTGCTCAATATTTTGCCCATAGAATCCTTTAATATTGAAACTCGAGGCTTGAATTTTTTCTTCAGTTCTTTCAGCCTGATACATGCCAAGCATGTTCTTCCCTTTTGGTTTTCTAATGCCAGGTCTTTGCACATTTCATGATAATAATTTACTTTGTCTTCTCGAGGTACTCTTTGAAATCTTCTGTTTAGCTCTTTTATCTTGTCATGTCTTCCATTCATTTTAGCTCCTCTCCATTCAAGAGCAAGTTTCAGAGTCTCTTCTAATCTCCATTTTGGTCTTTTCTTCCTTTCCTGTCTTTTTAATGATCTTTTGCTTTCTTCATGTATGATGTTCTTGATGTCATCCCAAAATATATCTGGTTTTTAGTCATTATTGTTCAATGCGTCTAATGTATTCATCACATGGTGTCTAAATTCAGTTTGGATATATTCAAGGTTGTATTTTGGATCTTGTGGACTTTTTCCAACTTTTTTCAGCTTCACCTTGAACTGGCATATGAGCAGTTGATGGTCTGTTCCATAGTCAGCCCTGGCTGAAGATATTGAGCTTCTCTGTAGCTTTTTTCCACAGATGTAGTTGATCTGATTTCTGTG